CCCTAGGGCTCGAGGCCAAAACTAAACAAATTATAATTTAGATAATGTTGACAATTAGTTTTGACATGAAACTTTTACAAAGGATTTTACATGCAAATAGAAACATTTATGTCAAATTTCACAACTTTTTTGATTAATTTAAAATTTAGCCAAAAAATGTGATGGTGCCCCTAGACCTCGAGGCCAAAACTAAAAAAATTATAACTTAGACATTGTTGAAAAGGATTTTTGACATGAAACTTTTACAAAATATTTTACATGCAAATAGAAAAATCCATGTCAAATTTCGCAACTTTTATGATGAATTTAAAATTTCGCTAAAAAATGTGATGTTACCCCTAAAGCTCGATTCCAAAACTAAAAAAACTATAATTTAGATATTGTTGACAAGTAGTTTTGAAATGAAACTTGTACAAAGAATTTTACATGCAAATAGAATCATCCATGTCAAATTTCGCAACTTTTTGATGATTTTTAATTTCGCCAAAAAATGTGAAGGTACCCTTAGAGCTTGAAGCCAAACTAAGAAATAATAATTTAGATGTTTTTGACAAGTAGTTTTGACATGAAATTTTTAGAAAAGATTTGACTTGCAAATAGAAGCATCCATGTCAAATTTCATAACTTTTTTTATTAATTTAAAATTTGGCCAAAAAATGTGACGGTACCCCTAGAGCTCGAGGCCAAAACTAAAAAAATTATAACTTAGACATTGTTAAAAGGTATTTTTGACAAGAAACTTTTACAAAAGATTTTACATGCAAATAGAAACATCCATGTCAAATTTCACAACTTTTTTGATTAATTTAAAATTTGGCCAAAAAATGTGATGGTACCTCTAGAGCTCGAGGCTGAAACTAAAAAAATTATAACTTAGACATTGTTGAAAAGTATTTTTGACATGAAACTTTTACAAAGGATTTTACATGCAAATAGAAACATCCATTTCAAATTTCACAACTTTTTTGATGAATTTAAAATTTTGCTAAAAAATGTGATGTTACCCCTAAAGCTCGATGCCAAAAGTAAAAAATTATAATTTAGATATTGTTGACAAGTAGTTTTGAAATGAAACTTTTACAAAGGATTTTACATGCAAATAGAAACATCAATGTCG